CCCTGGGCCAGCCGAGCCCCAAGAGTAGCGGCCGGAGGGCTGCGCTGGTTCCTCTCCGGCCCCAGCCCCGCCTCAGCCAGGGCTCCCGGATGCTCCTCCGGCCCCAGGTGCCCCCTCGGGGCCCTTGCTGCTCCGCAGGCTGTGTGAGAACTGGCTTATTACATCGGGTAAACTCTGCCCCGCAGGACGGACACTGTTTATTCTCCAAAGGCAGGCGGGTCGGTGTCCCAAGAAGCTCCTGCCTGCACAGCAGCGTTGCTTTTTCATGCGCCCTCATGTCTGCACCTGTGGCAGCTAAAGGAGATGGACGCGGCCAGGAGCTTTCGGCACCAGTGCTTCAGGGCCTCGCCCTTGTCCCATAAAACGCCCTGGCGTCGTCTAATGTGTCTTCGCCGGCTGAGTGCTCAGGGTGTGCTGGTGCTGTTCTCAGGTTCACTTCTCGAACACCCCACGCACGATCGGAATCACCGGGAGAGCTGGTTCACACAGATTCCCGAGTCTTACTCCCAGGTTCTGACCCACGACGGGCGTGGGGTCCTCGTTGGTGACACGTTCCGAGCCAGGCGGGCCACCTGTCACACTTCGTAGCTTCTCAGGTCGACAGAGGTTCGGCTCCGTGCGGAGAAGCATGCGCTGGGCTCCTCTGCGCGGTACTTACTTCCCGATCGTTGTCTACACGGCCCTCCTGAATGCTCTGGGGAACACCAGGGCGAGTTCCGGAACCCCCTGACCGCCTGCACGACGCGGTCTGTTAGGCGGCCTCGCTTTAACCGACGTGGAGCCCCGTGTGGCTGCCACAGCCTTGGCAATGCTGGGCTCGAGCGAGCGAAAGGGCTCCGTTCCCAGCCTTGGTTTCCCTCCATGACGTGCCCACCTGATTCTGAGAACAGGCATTCCACAGCAAAGCATCTTGGGATTTCTGGGCACAGCGTCCCCGGAATTGTTAACGTGGGGTTCCTCCTGACCCCTCTGCTCTGCACCCCCCACACACCATCTGTCCTTCAATCCTGCAGAGTTTACCCCCACACATGCCTGTGCCTTGAAGGTGGGCACTGGTCTCAGCCCCATCGGATGCCCACCTTTGCCCACACCGGGGCCTCCGGACCTCGGCCCTGCACTCTCGTGGCCTGTGTGTCGGGGGTGGGCGTGCAGGGCCCTGAAGGCTGCTGAGCAGCATCCCTGGCCTCTGCTCCGGGCTAAGACGTGAAGGAGGGGAGGCTGGTGACTAGGTGAGGCCACAGGTTGCTGTGTGACGTGTTCGTCCCGCGGAATCACAGCTGGGAGGTCCGCCCCACGGCCCCTGCCGTCCTGTGAGAGGCCTGTCACCCTGGGCAGCCTGTGCCTTCCTCTGATTTGGGGAAGGAATGCTTCAGGATGGGGAGTGGGGGCTACCTTCAGGCACGGAGCCACCGTCTGCCGTCCACCGCGTGGGAGCGTGAGCGGCGGTGGCGCCTTGGACGGGGCGTTGGTTCCCAGGACGCGTGGGCAGACGCCCGGATTTCACCAGGAACGCGGGCGAGCCCCGCGTGAGACCGGGGGTGCACCCTGACGTCAGACTCCGGGGCCAGGGACGCGGATGTTCGGGCATCCGCAGGTTATTTCATATAACAGCAGACGGACATGTGTATTTGGCCAGGGAAGCACTGAGACTCTTCACGTATTTCTCTCACATTATTTTTTAAAAGTCTGTTTGGCTTGTGGATGACCATTTTGTGTCTGAACAAGCGATTTCTGTTCCCTGTCCATGTCCCCTGTCCCCGGTGTCCCTCTCCCCCTCTCCGCACTGACTTTGGGGACAGATACCAGTCGATAACAGTTCCGTTGACTCTCATCCACTTTGTTGTTTTGTGTTGTTTGGTTTTTTCCTTTTGTTCATCCTCACCTAGGATATTTTTCCATTGATTTTTAGAGAAGAGTGGAAGGGAGAGGGAGAGACGAGAGAAACACGGATGTGAGAGAGACACATCAATTGATTGCCTACCGCACGCACCTTGACCAAGACCGGGGAACCTGGAACCCAAGTACATACCCTTGACTGGAATAGAACTTGGGACCCTTCAGTCCTCAGGCCGACGCTCTAGCCATTGAGCCACACCCGCCAGGGCTCTTTGAATTCACTTCCGAGCATCCTCCCAGTGACTCACCCTCAGGCCTGAGCACTTCCTCTCTGTCCTTCCTCCGAGAATTCTTTCCCTGGAAGGGAGGCGCATGGCAGGGGGCGGGGTGGTCCATGCCGCTGACCGTTAGGATCAGTTTGAAGGACAGGACCCAGACGTCTTGTGTAGGGAGTGAGACACCGCCTTCTTTACATGGAATGTCTGGCACCAGCTCCGCTCCCCCCTTCCCCGCCCCCGCCCCCGCCCTGCACATTTTTGCGCTTTCCCGTCACCGGGCCGCAGATGGAGCCGTGACCCAGCTGTGCGGTCTCTGGGAGCTTCGCATAATCCGAGGCTGAGGTGTCGGGTCCCCCAGATACACAGACGGGCGGTCAGTCAATTACAGTTCTCAGAACCCGCCGGGCGGCGAGTCCCACAGCCGCGGGAACCAGGGACACCCGTCCTAGGGAGGAGAGAGACCGCACTGACAGGCGTGGACGGACGCCGGGGACCGCCACACCCACAGGAGGTGGCGTGCGTCCAAGCGCCCCAGCTGGGCGTTTTGGAGAACAGTGCCATAGAAGCGGGACTTTGCCCATAGAAGGCAGTTTGCATTCTATAAAAATAAACAGCCGCCATAAGGTGTCTTTTGACAAAGGACATTTGATTTTCCCTTGTTCCCTGTGACTTCTATTCCCCCCACAACTCTTATCCAGTTAGACCTTGAGTTGAAAGCTGGGCAGACTGTGATCTGGGCAGTCTTAACATTGATCTAGTGCAGGGGCCGTTTGGATATTTATAACATCATTCCGGGCCCAGACAAAATTCAACTTTAAAAAAAAGTAGCCTGCTCTATTCGGTCAAACATTTAATTAGCTCGCCCCTCATCCTTGGCCAGGCCAGACCAAATGATTTCACAGGCCTTCTATGGCCCGCGGGCCGGATCTTCCCCACCCCTGCTCTAGTGTGTCATCTTAGTGAATCACCGTGAGGCTGTGCACACCGAGCTTCCATTTCTGCTGGCACTTCCGGGCGGACACGATGTGACCGTCCAACGAGACCCTGCAGTGTTCTGGGGGCCTGACCGCCCCTGGGCGGGGTCCTGGCTGGACGCTGGGGCGCTGAGGATCTGCTAGAGCCCCCTGCCCCTCCCCACAGGAGGCAGGGATGTAGCTGGACCGCAGGATGGCAGGCGTCTTTCTTTTCCCCCGACCCCAGGCTCTCGGGGGGAGCTCCTTGCTCCCCTGGGTTCTGGCTCCCGGGGACACGTGCCATCTGGGAAGAGAGATTTGAAGCTAATGTTTTTAGTGATGTGATCGCGCATTCTCCATTAGTCTTATGTGTGTGTCTGTTTGTGCCTGTGTGTGTGTGTGTTCTGTGTGTGAAGGGCAGTGTGTGTGTATTTGTGTGTGTATGTGTGTGTGTGTGTGTGTGTGTGAGTGTGAGAGGATCTGTGTGTGTATGTGTGTGGGAGAGGATGTGTGTGTGTGTGTTCTGTGTGTGGATGGCAACGTGTGTGTGTGTGTGTGTGTGTGTGTGTGTGTGTGCTGTGTGTTCGGCTCCTCTGGCACAGCTGTCCGGCCTGTGTGAAGCGTGCTGTGCACCGCATGGGTGATGGAGCCCCACCCAGACCCCAGGCCGGGGCAGAGTGGTCAGTCAGAGCTGAGCCCAGGCCACGCAGGCGCTGCATTTATTCCCAGAAACAGCACGAGGCAGAGGTTTGATCAGGAAACAGTAAATATCAGGATAAAGTCTCTCGTGCGATAAGCTGTCCGTGTTTCCAAGAAAGCTTATAATGAAGGGCTTCATGTTTTAAAATGCCGCATTTAAATAAGCCCGTGTTGAAACAGGATACGTGAGCAAAGCAATTGGGAGCTTACAGTCAGTGCACACACGGGATGTGCGAACCGGCAACATGTCAGCCGTGTGTCAGCAAGCGTGGGGTTAACGCCACACCCGTCAGGTCACAGTTCGCACGCACGGGGGCCCGTCTGTTCGTGTTCATCGGTCTGTCCCGTGAGCGAGTTTGCTCGGCGGCCCTGGCTTCTCCGTCCCGGGACAGGCGCCCGTGCCGTGAGACCTGCCCGGCGACTCCGCGTGTTAGTTGTGAGGCTTCGTGTTGACCCGCCCGCCTTGAGCCGATGCTGTCAGTCACTCCGCGCTGCACCTCCTGTGGTCGCCGTGTTACCTGTGACAACGGCCGCCCTTTCACCAGATCAGGATTCCTCAGGTTCCCTCGGGTTTGCACCTGACTTTTTTTGTTTGTTTGTTTTATTATTTTTATTGATTTCAGAGAGGAAGGGAGAGGGAGAGAGAGAGAAACATCAATGATGAGAGAGAATCATTGATCAGCTGCCTCCTGCATGCCCCCTGCTGGGGCTCCAGCTCACAACCTGGGCATGTGCCCTGACGAGGAATTGAACCATGACTTCCTGGTTCATAGGTTGCTGCTCAACCACTGAGCCACACTGGGGGGCTGCACCTGACTTTCCATGTGCTGTCCGCAATGTCACCCCAGCAGAGAGGACTGTGAACAGCCGTGCATGTGCTCAGACAGCCGGGCAGGCTGTGGGTACCGTTCATGACCTAATGGGGGTGCTCGGGTGGGGAGCAGACAGACAGTGGTGCTGACAGCCTGAGTACCCGGGTGTATCATGGGAAGACGCACTTGCAGACCAGGGTCTGATGGAAGGCACTCGCCAGGAGTCTCCCATGGTCACACCAGGGCCGCAAGGTGTTTGCAACCTAAACACAGGGCACGGCTTCTGCTTGGCCCAGCAGTTCCCTTGCTTACACTCCCCAAGAGTGATGGTCAGCTGGTGATCCATGAGTCCACTTAGATGGAGGGAGTCCCTGCCACCTGCTTTCTGTTGGTGAGTAATTGTGACCTCCTCTGTTCCCCGCAGGGCGAAGAGACCAAAAGCCTGACCCTGGTCCTGCACCGCGACGCTGGCTCCCTCGGCTTCAACATCATCGGGGGACGGCCGTGTGCGGTAGGTCCCTTCCTTCCTCAGTGGTTTTCCTTACCCGGGTGGCTGGGAGAGGGACAGGCCTGGGGAGGGAGGGCGGAACCTCCATCGCGTCCTTCGCTCACTCCTGTAGTTGGAGACTTCGTTGTTTATGTCTCATCCCCACACTCGGGCACTCTGTTCGGTTGTCTCCTACGGTGGCATCGTCCTGGTAATATGTGGCTTGTTCACGCTGCTCGGATTGGGGGTGACGTCTGCGTGTGGGGCAGTCGAGCTGCCCAGGTGGTGGGGTGCGTGCAGGTGGCACTGAACTGGAGTGTGGGCTCCGCTCCAGGTCATCGCCATGAGTCGGGGATGGGCCCTTGTTGTGGGTCTGTGAGCTTCTTTCCTCCCCCATGGCCTGGTCCACCCCCTTGTCTGGAGAGAAGGGGCCAAGTTCCCATCCATCAGGGTAACTGCCAGGGTGTGTCGGTACTGGGCTCTGGGGAGGAGGCAAAGCTGCGGTCAGGGTGTCAGCTCCATGTGGTGCACAGAGGTGCTGTCTCCCAGCTTGGTCGTTGCATTTATAGAGCACAGGCAGAGTTAGCATTGGGCCTACACGGTCTTGCTTTAACCTAAAGTGGTGCTTGCTGTTGCCCCTTCTCTCTGGGTTTTGCTGGGACGTTCAGATGCTCCTAGAGAACGGTGACTCGTGTTGGCTGCCGTTTTCCGCAAGAGGAACCCAAGCCAAAACCCCATCCCATCTCCCTCTTCCTTCCAGCCAAGAAATGCGCAGCCGTTAGAGCAGAGTGAACACAGATCTCTTTCACTCGCTCTGCTGACATCACCTCCGAGGGAGAGCTCGGGCTTGTCCATAAATCCTTTGTGGTCCACGGAGACGCCCCAGCGTCTCTGGTGGAATGTTCCGCCCCCTGGAATGCTGGTCTTCTGCATCCATGTGTGTGTGTTTTAGACGTTTCTCAGTGGGAGACAGTATTGCACTCAGAGTGTGCGCTCAAACAGTGGCGCATTCAAACTATCCTGAGTTTGAACCTGACCTATGCTACCTTTTAGCTGTGTGACCTTGGGCAAGTCACTTAACCTCTCTGTCCCAGGTTTTCCATGTGTGGAATGAATACGAATAGTGCCGCTTGTGGCCGTCATGTGCATTACATGGTGGGCAGGGGGGTAGATACTGGGAGAAACACTGACTGCTCGTTTTAGGCTGTGACTAGGGTTTCTGTGAATCACAGTTATAGCTCCGTGTGTCTGTGAACATCATCTGTGTTCCATCATCTGGGGCAGTGGTCGGCAAACTGCGGCTCGCGAGCCACATGCGGCTCTTTGGCCCCTTGAGAGTGGCTCTTCCACAAAATACCACGTGCGGGTGTGCACGTACAGTGCGATTGAAACTTCGTGGCCCATGCGCAGAAGTCGGTATTTTGTGGAAGAGCACACACTCGGGCCCAAGAGCCACATGTGGCTCATGAGCCGGGGAGTGTGGGCTCCCCCTTAGTCTCTGCTGTGGCACTTGAACAGGTGGATGGAACCACGTCCAGAGTCCCCCCTCCCCTGCGGGGACACAGGGGCTTTGTGGCTGTTCAAAGAGGAAAATGTGGTCTTTTCATAGTTATTTTTAAATATATATATTTTTGTTGATTTCAGAGAGGGAGGGAGAGGAAGAGAGACAGACACATCAATGATGAGAGAGGATCACTGATCGGCTGCCTCCTGCACGCCCCACACTGGGATCGAGCCCGTACCTCGGGCCTGTGCCCTGACTGGGAGTCGAATCTGGGACCCTTCAGTCTGCAGGCCGATGCTCAACCACTGAGCTACACCGGCGAGGGCCATAGTTGTTTTTTAACAAGCGGAGTTCCAAGTTTGCGTGCAGATTGGCAGGGAGGTGGGCGTCTCCGCCACGTGGACTTGGGGTTTGTGTGAGCAGCCTGAGCCCTCCCAGGCATTGTGTCTGGAACCCACACTGCTGGGTGTTCAGTTTACAAGTCGCTGGCGCTCGGTGCCAGGCTTGGGAGAGTCCATCGCGGTGCTGCTTGGGAAGACGGCCGTGACCAGGCTGTGAGCTCGCGTTTTATGAGCATGGGGGCGCGTTTTGACTTTGAGAAAAGGAAGGCGTGTGGGCAGGGAGCTCGCTCCTGTCCCTGGAAGTTTCTATCCAGGCGCTGGAAGATCTGCAGGGAT